AATGTCATTATTTTATAAGGGTTGAAGATGAAAATCAGTTTTAATAGTGTGCTAGTTTTCAATCTAGTTAGTATGCAAAAGATAATAACATTAACTACACATCAGCATAATGACGATTTATTTACAACATAAATGTAGTTCTTTTAAAAAATTATAATTTAATAACAATAAAAACCTATTACAAAATGGCCCCAAAATACTAATTAATTGTTGTTGTCAGTGTTTTTGCTTTGCCACTATCCTACAAACGGCTAGGTTTTACCCATTTGTCCGAATAGCGTTGTGTATTTATTTTTATTCATTTAAAATAATGTAAAGCAATATTATCACTTATGTATTTTAATAAGAACAGCTCATAAGTATATTGCTTTATATTTATGCAAATAAATATGTTAGGCTGAATGACTATTAAGCATTAGTTTTTGTACCATAATGTTCATGACCAACCCAGACAAAAATAAAATAATTTGACAGAAAATGTTTATAAAAGTCAAGGTCCCATAATACACTTATGTGTAAATAAATCAAAAAATGCCCGTGAATCAAGATGTGAGCAGCTGTTGATCAGTGGACATTTTTATTTCAGTTTAACAACAAATAACATTACCTAGTTTTTGTACCATAATGTTCATGACCAGCCAGGACAAAAATAAAATAATTTGACTGAAGCGTTAATAGGTCAAGGTCCCATAATGCTCTTAAGTACAAAAAAACACACACCCATGAATCACATCATAGGAGAAACTGTTAATTAATAGACATTTTATTTAAGTTTACAAAACAAATAACATCAGTTTTGTACCAAAATTTGCATAATCTAAATAAAAATTACTAAAACGTTAATGGGTCGAGGTTCTACAATGCACTTTGATTCAAAACGCTTGTGAATCACAAGATATGAGCAACTGTTAATCGATGAACTTTTTTTTTTTCATTACACCAAGTTAATTTATATTGCAGATGAATCAACAGTTCGTAAAAAGTCTCCACTGCAGAATCTGAAAGTGCGTCTGTTTGACCTTTCAGAAAAGCTGGAGTTTTAAGCCTTTGGTGGGCCTGCATGCAAACTTGTTTCATGTTCAAACACTGTCCAGGCTGCACAGCACCACCGCTGGTCAGCTCCACCGCCTACAAAAAAATCACTTTGATCAAACAAACATGAACATCCAGTGGTCTTCAGGCCCAGTCCTTGCTCTCTCTCTTACTTTCTCTTACTCTCTCTCTCTCTCTCTCTCTCTCTCTCTCTGACAGCTCACCACGGACTGATGAAAGCCATGCAAATTCACGTTTAGACTGATAACGATACACATCACATCGCTGTGATTTTTTTTTTTTCCAATGCACTTCGGTTTGGGTTCTAGTGTTGATTAGAGGTCCGAGCCGCTCGTCCGGGCTGGTAGGGGTTCACTGTTATGCTCTACGGCACTGTTTATGTGCACCATGCAGCTTATTGAAGTTTTAGCATTTAGTATTTATTTGATTTTATTATTTAAGAAAATCTATAATGCACTATAATGCTTTGTAAATTTTGCAAGTGCCAATATTTTTACTTAATATCCATATTGTTTGTGTAAGAATCCTGCTCTTAATACATTTATTTGGTAATTTATTTCAGTTACATTTGTGATTTTGCGATGAAGGAAGTAAAATAAAGAAAGTGGAAGTAAGGAAAGAGATGAAGGAAGTAAAGAGAAAGAAAGAAAGAAAGAAAGAAAGAGAGAAAGAAAGAAAGAAAGAAAGAAAGAAAGAAAGAAAGAAAGAAAGAAAGAAAGAAAGAAAGAAAAAGAGAAAGAAAGTAAGATAATTAAAGAAAGTGAAAAAGGAAGAGAATTCAGGAAAGTGAAATAAAGGAAGGAAAGAAGGAAGGACGGAAGGAAGTAAAGAGAAATAAAGGAAGTAAGGAAAGAAAGGAAGAAAGAAAGAAAGTGGAATAAAGGAAGATAATTAAAGAAAGTGAAATAAAGGAAGGAAGGAAGGAAGGAAAGAAGGAAGGAAAGAAAAGAAAGCGAAACCAGAAAAGGAAAATGGAAAAATAATAAATTAAAATAAAGAAAGATAAAAATAAAGAAAGTTAAGAAAAAAGTAAAATAAACAAGAAAAATAAAGAAATGTATTTATTTACCAACAAATGGCTAAACAGTGTTATGATTTATTATTTAAATAATATTAAATATCATTTTTTCATATGGGTTAACAATGAAAATGAGTTAAGCATCAGAATAGTGTGCTTTAATTAGAAATTTACTTAGTGGGCAAAAAATACTGAAATTTAACTACAATTCAGCATGATGATGATTTATTTATACAAAAATGTAGTTCTTTAAAACAAGAATCATTTAATGACATTACAATCTATTTAATAATCACAATAACGGCCCCAATATACTAATTAATTGTTGTTTTTTGCGTTTATACTTTGCCACTATCCTACAAACTGCTAGGTTTTACCCACTTGTCCAAATGACCTTTATGTATTTATTTTATTCATTTAAAATGCTGTAATGCAATGTGATCACTTATGTATTTTAATAAGAACAGCTCATAAGTATATTTCTTTATATTTATGCAAATAAATATGTTAGGCTGAATGATGATTAATTGCACCAAAATGCCACATTATGTCCTTGACCGATTTGTTTACTTAATATCTCAACACATGAACGGATAAAAATATTTACAATCAATACATCCTCAAACAGGCTACTTTACTGTTTGGTTAGCCAAGTAGTAAATACAAATATTTTTTTTATTTTATTTATAACATCTCTCAACAGCTCCTGCAAAACTGTATATCCATATCATCCTAAACAACAGTGATTTGGCATAGTATGTGGCGGCCCTGCGAGAGAAAGGTTAAATGTTAATCAGAGTTGAGAGAAACTGCAGCATTAACGCACCAATTTGCTGGCGAAAATGTTGGACGCTGTTAATCAGCTTTACGTGACCAACCCTGTGCTTTTGCATGATAATAACCCCATTATTCACAAAGCTACTAATCAACCCAAAAGTGCAATTCGTTCCTTTTGAATTTCTCTGATTCCTCTTTCACTCTCGCCGCTGCTAAGTTGTGGTCTTGCACACCTACACACACACACACACACACACACACACACACACACACACACACACACACACACACACACACACACACACAGAGTTTTACATGTCAGTCATTATGTTCTAAATCAATTTGGTCTTTATATAAAAATAAAGATTTTCTGTAATTTTGTATGATTTAAGGCAAGCCACTGCAGGAAAAACACTATTTCTTTATACACACATGCAAAATTTGAGTCTTTTTTGGCTTTTTAATGTGTTATTTGTACAAATGTAACGAAAACATCCAATATACACTTTTAGGTTTTCTTTTGATGCACTATTATCTATAGCCCCTTTCACACAGTGATACCGTTAAATATCTGGAGAATTTACACAAAGACTTTACCGGTAAATTAAAAAAAGCACTGTTCATACAGGCCCGGACGTTCTTGAGTTTTTCAGGGAAAAGACCATTCACACATCCATTCCAAAATACCGGTAAATTCTGACATCGTTAACAAGAAATGACCTTTAAACTACTGCAATGTTATTTGTAAATATAGAAAGGGTCGGGCTTTTGTTTATGAATTCACCGGCTGCTTCACGTGCACACGCGTCAAGCAACTGAAAGCAGAGCTTAAAGCATTTTATCGATAATTTTTTACACAGTTGGCATTAAGAAGGAACATAGAAGCGTGATCTGACTAACATCTAGCAGCTAAATGTGTCTGGAAAAATATTTAAAAGCTTTTATTTTCATAAATAGCATGGATATGAATACGTCTAAATGTTCTGATTGGCTGGAGTAGATGTCTCCTGTCAGTACGTTGTAAACGTGAACGCGCTCTTTCCAGCAATTTTCTTTTTAAGTTTACACAGAGCAGCATTCCGGCTAATTACCAATAATGTTACAACTTCTTTTCCCGGAAAATAGCCAAAACGCATTTACCGGTATTTTCAAAAAGGGTCTGTTCACACATAGACCTTTCCAAAAAATTTGCCGGTATTTTTTCGGAAAGGTCTGTATGTGTGAAAGAGGCTATTGTCTATTGATTTCAATTGTAATGTTTTTATATATAAATCTATATATATGAAAAAAAAAATGTAAACCTGTAAATATTTTTATTAATATAGATTACTATAAATGTTATAGATAGATTATATACATGCATACATACATACAAAAAGTTCATGCAAAATATGGCATATTATATACAACATTTTATTTACTTTATTTTTTTTGATTGTTGCAGTCTTTTTTTAAGGATGGGGGGTAAAAAAGATTATATATTTAAATATATCTATAAATCTCTGGCTCAACAAAAAATAAAAATAATTAAAGTCTTTGAATACAATGTTCAGACTGTTTGTGCTATAAATATTTGCAAATTAGCACACATTTTACCAAAAAAATAAATAAAAAATTGGTTGTCGGCTTATTTAAAAACATTTTTAGATGACGTCTTAATCTGTCAACTTGGGAAATATGATGACAACTGTAACTTATTTTTATTGAAAATTACCTGCAGTGTCTTGTCTCTATTCTAATTTTGTTAATTTAATAACTGTTTTCTAACTTTTTTTTACATACTTTTTTGGTTCAATGGAATATTAAAAGCTTCATTTATTTATTATTTATTTATTTAATTTAATTTAATTTTGATTTTTAATTTGTTTTATCTTTTATTTTATTTTATTTGCAACGCCAAACAAGATAGCAAAAATGATCTTAAACAAAATGAAGTAGTAACATTTTTTTGTTCAATTTAATCTTAAAAGCTTAATTTTTATTATAATTTATACACTGTTTAATTTTATTTATTTTATTTTATTTTATTTTGCAGCCCCAAACAGCATAACAAAAATTATTCTCAAACAAAATGAAGTAGCAAATATATCTTTGTTCATTCAGTGTTTTTCATTTTGTCTTGTTCTGCCCACTGCAACACTCTTGAGTGCAGACTGCTGCGTCCACTGCATCCTGGCCTGCCTGTTTTGTGAATTTCTCACTCTGTGCAATATGGTGGTGGCTCAGGCCTCGTGCGGCACCTGCACATCAGAAGCCTGTTGCTGCTGCTGCTGCGCTGACGACCTGGGAGACGACTGCAACTGTCCCTGTGACATGGACTGTGGCATTATGGATGCGTGCTGCGAGTCCTCGGACTGCCTGGAGATCTGCATGGAGTGCTGCGGAATCTGTTTCCCAACATAAACAATCTACTGCATTTATACGACGGCCAGAACAGATGTTGAATGAGAGCGAGTGTGTGTGTGTGTGAGGGATTGAGCAAAATGAAGTGTGTGAAAAATCTGTTCCTGAGCACAAGATGACTGTAAAGGTCATACAAAAAGACTTCAATATATGATGTAATTCACATATACTAATAGACTAAAAGTTATGGAAGCGTGTTGCCATGGAATTTAGAAATATATAAAGGTAATTGTGACTTGAATCTTGCAAATACAATTCTTTTGTGAAAGACTTTTTTTTTTTTTTGCAATTTCTCAATTTTAGTTCAAGCAATTCTGATTTTATATTTTATTATCGATTTAAAATCAGACTTTTTTTGCAACTCCCAAGTAGTTTCCTTGTATTTCTGAGTTTCTATCTTGAAATTGGCACTTTATATCTTGAAATTCAGAATTTAAATGATCAGTTTACATATCATATTTCTGTAATAACTCTTCTTGTTTCATTAATTCCTGCTTGTCCTTATTAATCTTATTTTTATCACTCTTTTTTTTTTGTGTCTCACAATTCATTTTATGTCAGTTTCTCAGATTCTTTTTTTCACAGCTCAGAATTTACACTTTGTATTTTTGAGATGCATTTTACTTGCATTTGTGAGTTTATTTCTTGAAATTGGCACTTTATGTCTTGAAATTTTATCTTGAAAGTTTACATCTGGAATTTCTCTGTTAGGTCATTATTGGGTTCTTTTTTATTTCTATTTGTTTATTCTTATTTTCTATTCTTATTTTTAATCTCATTCTTATTCATTTTATATCTTACATTTTCAAATTCTGTTTTCACAGCTCTGAATTTGCATATCATATTTCTGAGATGCCTTTTTTCAAGAAATTCCAATTTAATTACTTCAAATTCAGCTTTTTTTTCTTCTCCGACTTTGAAATTTATATCTTTCATTTTTACATTTTTAAATTAGAATTTCACTTGTATGTGTCACGTTTCTGAGGAGTTTGTGAGTGTAAAGGTCATACAAAAAGACTTCAATATATGATGTAATTCACATAGACTAATAGACTAAAAGTTATGGAAGCGTGTTGCCATGGAATTAAAAATAAATAAATAAGTAAAGGTAACTGCGACTTTAAACTTCCAATTCCAGAGAACATCTTAAAGAGAGTTAGTCTCTCTATTCATACTTATTTTTTAAGAATTCTTTATATTTTAGAAACTGCGTTTTGTAATTAGACTTTTTTTTCCTTTGCAATTCTGAGAATTTTTATTAGCATTTTGTTAGTAAAGCAGTTTATTTCTTGAAGTTGGCAATTTATGTCTTAAAATCAAGTTATATCTGTCATTTCTACAATTTCACATGCACAGTATGTGTAGCATTTCTGAGGAGTTTCCGAGTGTTAAGGTCATATAAAAAAAAAAATAATAATAAATATATGATGTAGTTCACATAGACTAAAAGTAATGGAACCCTGTTGCCAAACTTGCAATTCCAGACAATATCTTCGTGAGAGTTAGTCTTTTTTGTAATTTTAGAATTCTGAGTTTTCTGAATTCTTTATATATTTGACAAAACTGTGTATTTTAAAATTTGGCTTTTTTCCTTTGCAATTCTGGGTAATTTGCTTTAGCATTTTGCTTGCGTTTGTGAATTTATATCTGGTAATTGGAATTTTTTGTCTGGAAATTCACAATTAAATGACAAGTTTACATCTGAAAATTTTTTATTAGCTCTTCCTATTCTTGTTTTGGTTCTTATTCCTTTTTTATTCATATTCACATAATTCTTGCTGCCTTATTTTTTTTTAGGTTGAATCAAAAGAACTTCAAATGTCATTCTCAACTTATATCAATCAAACTACTTAAAAAAATATTAAGTTAAACTTTGCATACCTTTAACATTTTAGTTGAAACCTGATTAACTTATTTAAAGTGCTTAAAGTGAAATAAAAACATTTGTACACTTGACTTTTGGGCATATATATATATATATATATATACTTTTTTACAGTGCTCTTACTCTCATTCTTATTCATTTTATATCTCACAGATAATTTTTTCATAGTTCAGAGTTTACATCTCGTATTTCTGAGATTCTTTTTTAAACTAGCGATTTACTTTTTTTGTTTTTACAATTTCAAGTTTGTTCCTTTGAATTTTGCTTTTTTCCAGAGATTTTTAGTTGTTTTCTTCTTCTGCCAGTTTCAAATTTGTCTTTCTCATTTCTACCGTTTTTAATTGAACTTTCACATTTCAGAAAGTGTTTGCGAGTTTATAAATAGCATTTTTATACGATGTCAACTCATAGAAAATCAAAATCATCATTTTTAAAGTCACAATGACCTTTTCCTGTTTCAATTCCTGTGTGGCACAAACAAGCTTCTATAAAAAGTGCATAAAGACTAGATATCCAGCGCTTTATATCCAACGCTTTAATATAACAGAGCTTGTCCTATTTACTGTTTAGACCGAGTTGTCATCTCTTTGCAGAGGTTTCTAATATTTCCTTTATTTTTTTTAAATCAATTTTAAAATTATGTAGATGTTGAAATTAAAGCAGTAGACGTCACATGACTTGGGCTCGCTCTGCACATCGCTGTAATTTGAGTGGGAATATTTTCACACTGTCAGAGGTCAAGCCTTTGTGGGTGTTAAGTGGGATATTTCTTTTTATTTTGAACTGTTTCTTACAAACACAGAGGGCTGTTTAAGTGATAGCCAATTTAAGTCTTTATTTAAACTGCGTCTACTGTAGCTCATTTAATTAAATGTCCCTAAGTTCTTGAAACCACATTAGCAATTAGCTCGCTGGTGCTTTTAAAGATGAACTGGATCCACAGAACGGTGTGTAATGCAGACGCCAAATGACTTGACTTTCTTTTGTTTTTCTTTACCAAGCCTCTGTTAAAGATGCACTTTTTGCTTCTGTACTTAAGTGAATACTGAATACACTTTTGCTTTTCTTGACTGTTAAATCATACATGTAGTTCAGATTGTATTGCCTGAGACCTCCTTGTGAATTGTAAATAGCTGGCATTTGTCTCCATTATGTAAACTAATGTTAGCATCGTCCCGTTAACACAGTTGGTGTTTATGTTCGCAGTGTGTAATGCCTTCGGTACGTTTGTGTGTTTGACTCATCTCGTCAAAAACTGCTTGTATGACACACTTGCCAAACTGCACTTCAGAACACGGTGTGACTGAACTGACCCGAGACCTTCAACTGAAACCGCTTCAAAACAAACAACTTTACCTCTACAGACTTTTACCTCTCCAGATTCTGACTAGCTCTTGTGTGTCTTTTTGACGAGGCTCGCATTTACTCCAAACTGACTAAGACTGGCTCTTTTACACTGAAAAAAGGATGCAAACCTTAGTAGATATCCTTATAAAGTTCATGTAAGATACTATAGAAGTTACTGTAAAGGCTTTTCAAATTTAATAAAATGCATTGCAAACATTTTAGTTTAGGTCATTCAATTCATGCTATCAAGAACTGGCTTATTACATGTCTATTATGAAGTTATGTATATTATGAAGTTATGTTATGTATATATATATATATATATATATATATATATATATATATATATATATATATATATGTATGTCCCAATTTGGTCCCAGATTTTAAATGTTTAATTAGACAAAGTTATTATTCTTAAGCGTATAAAATGTTGTTTCAAAGTTTTTTTTTATTAAAAATTAATTCAATTAAATTAAATAAAAATTGTAAATATTGTTGAAATGTTTTGTTTTTGTTCAGCCCAGAAGATAAATTTATTTACAAATGAAACTAAATGACTTTCTGAAGTATAAGATTGTACCTATTTGTATTATTTTAAAACCTGACAAATAGGTCAAACCTAGGCGTTTAAAGTCATAAAGTTAGTGTGTTAGTTGATTATTTGATAATACAGCGAATTGTGAATTAAAATAAAGTGTTACCAATGCATTTTAATAACAAGCAACCTAAATGAGCAAACGTATGTGTTCTTGATTGAAGTGAGCTTGGAAAATTCACATTATTACATTGACATTAATGTTTATGTCCCATTTTGGTCCCGGAATTTAAATATGTTGAATTTGATGAAGTTATTTTATAGACTTAAGCATATAAAATGTGTTGGTTTCAATTTTTTTACATTAAAAAAAAATCTTATTATGGTTGAAATGTTTTGTCGTCTTTCAGAGCAGAAGATACATCTATGTACACATGAAACTAAATGACTTTCTGAAGTATAAGATCGTACCTATTTGTATTATTTTATGTCATTTAAAACCTGAAAAGTAGGTCAAACCTATGTGTTTGAAGGATTGTGGCAAAGTATGAAGATTTTAAATTACAATTGGTATTTCTGAGCAGATTTTTGTTCTAATCATGCCTGACAGTATTTAAAGATATGATTTTGGTTTAGAATTTGTTATGCTGAATGACAATTTAGAGTATCTCCTGTAAATCATGGTAAAAAATATGGTCATTGTATTATCTTTGTATTCATCTTAGATCCCCATAAATTGATGTGAAATGTTCCTTCTCACAGCTTAATATTTAATTGTAAAACAGATTAATATTTATGTTCACTGTTATTTTAATTTTAATTGCGACTCAAATTTGTCTTTACGTGAATCCATTTCGAACAACTAGACAAAATTGTAACAGCCATGTCTAAAAAAATCTTCAGGTTGCATAAGTTTGGAACTTACTATTTTTATTTTGTCAAACAATGTGAATTGAACTTACACATTTTATCTGTCCATCATACTGTATTCAGCCCATGTTTGTTTTCCCTCTTTGTTTGCTTTTAAATGTCTTTTAATGTGTACTAAGCATTGTTTTGTTAATGCACCATCGACTTTGCAGTTTTTAAGAAATAAAATGTTAAACTGGAGACATCATGAGACATGAACTGTAGAATCATTATTACAGACATTTGCCTAGATGTTTTTTCTTCTCTGCTTGTGCTGTAAATCTTTATAAGGTGCATGTGATGCATCATTGCAGCTGTGCCATTTCTCATGGCGTTTATATATTTGGTAATTGACTCACCTGTGCAAGGTTCAGAGATGGATATATATCGATAGCATCATAACTGACGTATTAAATCGTAGTAATGTCTCTAAAGAGATTTTAACGGTTTATGATAGATTCACAATGGTATGCCACATTGATTTAAAGATTATAGGAGTGGTACAGTTTATTAAAATGGCTGAGGTGTTTTAGAAGGTGTCAGATGACTTTGTGTGACTTTG